AAATTCGAGAAATCCCCATTTTTCCTGCGTTGGTTCAAATCATGGGCATGCATCAGAAATCGGATTCAGCGAGTGTCCGAGGGGTGTTTGAAAAAAACGAGCTGCTCGAAAAATCTAGACGCAATAGAGCAAATAGCAGGAAAGCAAGTGCAAAAAATAAATGGAGAGAAAAATAGCCCGAGCATAAAAGTGATAAGCACAGAGAACAGCAAGTACACAAAAAAGTACACCTGAGCAGTGTCCCTGTTCGAATCTTTTTTGTTGTGTTTTGAAAACACCATCTCGACTGATGATGTTAAGCAAAAATCCAGAGAGTAGAAATTAAATTGTCAGGCTGCAATGAGTAAACGATATTTGCCCCAAGGTTGGGCTTCCTAGCACTGTTTTTTTCTTGATAAACCCAGTAATTACATAACAAATTAATTAATCAAAAATTTGAAAAGAAAAAAACTGGATTTGTATCACAAGCGAATACAGTTAAACAGAGCTCAAAGAAAGAAAATTGAAGCATTCCAGTGAAAAAATGTCAGTGAAAGATCGATGCAATGCTCATTCATAAAAAAAAAATTTAAATTAAAATCCGGATTTTTGAAACAGTTCCGACAATGAATGAGAACAGATCGTCAACATGTTTTCCTGTAGCAAGCTGCGCATATAGAAGAAACCAGTTCGAAATCCAATAAATTTTCAAATATAACCAATCAAGCTTAGCAGCAGCCCGCAGCCGATGCTGTGACGATAATTCCTCAGCTTCTCATGGTATTCAACTGGGCGTGCATTTATTTAGAAACTATTTATACCGACGTCTAGCTATAGCCAGTCATTTTCAACTGATGTAAGAAAAAAAAAAAAGCACGAGGGATTCCGAATCTTGAACAACAAAACAAATCGGCAAAGTATTCTCACAGTGACAGCGCTTAACGTACTGTAGTTTCTATGTGGAGGTCGACATTGTGATACAATAAGTAGCATCAATTTTTTTTCCTTGGTCTGTATATTTGCAACTGCAATAGGATAGAGTTCACCTACCATGGCTGAAATATTTTCGCGTAAGCTTGCGAGAAATTTCTTCGCTTCTAGAATTGTGCAGTGCGCACAAAGTTTCTTGCTAAAATGTCGGAAAATGATGAGCTGCTTGCCGAAGAGCGAAAAAGGAGTGATAAGTCTGAAATGGCTGGTTATTATGCAAAAATCGATGAACGATTTGGCATTATTACTGCTAATGCTAGACATTAATTTGACAGTCATGAATTTGTGATTAGATGAGAAGCAGGGGCTGCGGGCTGCGCTTATTTTCTTTTTTTTTTTTAGAACGAGCGTGCAAAAATCAAGTCACGTAGAGTCGTGTGTCTTCGTTGTCTGCTCATCCGTCTCGTATATGTGTCTTCTACCTGTCTCACGCTTGCTTGTCTCATGGTCTGTCTTTCTCTGTCTCTCTGTCTACATTTCGTCTCTGTCTCTTTATGATTTCACGAACCGAACCGAACGAACGACGCCTGCCTCCACCGCCGTCCCGGCCCAACTTCCTCCGGCGCGTAAAAACTGGCCCGGAATCCGCGCCCACCTACTGTCCAACGCTCCACGACCCACGCATTCATTCATCCATTCAACCAACGAACCAATCATCCATCCATCCATCCATCCATCCATCCAACCATCCGCCACTGCGGCCCGACCCGTGTCCCCCCGGCCTTACAGTACAATGCCACCATCTCTATCCCAGACTGCTTAGGACCAGAACGGTAGGCCGTGGTTTTCCTCCTGTCTGTTTGGTCCTCGGAAACGCCCGTCTTCCCGCTGGCGGGCGGGCTTTCTGTATATATCGAGTCCGTTTCCTGTACTGCTGTACTGTACCTGTACACAGGGATCGCAGACTGTAGTGGCACTAGAGAGAGAGAGAGATAGAGAGAGAGAGTTTTTCTTTGAATTCCCTCTGCTTATTTCCCGGGTTGCTTTACTATAGGAGCTAGTCTTCACGAGCAAGTTAAAAAGCATCTCGTGGGATTTCACCCGCCCGCAGTATATTTGGAAACAAGTGCGTGACGATTTTCATGACATTTCAGGTATATGCAGGACGATTACTGTTGAATTGAATTACCGTATTTATTCGAGTAACAGGCGCAAATTCTTTCTCAACATTTGGAGGAAATACGGGAGGTGCACGTCATAGGAAGTATATTTTTTTCAAAAATTTAGGAATTTTTAGTGCGCATTGTACTTGATTCTAATGCTGGAAATTTCTGGACCAAATTTATCAAAAAAGTTAATTTTTATGCCGACATTTTAAAATTAGTTCAATTCAGGTTTAATTCTTTGTCAAAATTATAATTCAGGTGTCAGATTTAGACTCACTAAAAATGAGATGGGAGTCTTACTTCGGCATAGATTTTAATCACAATTTTAAACTGAAAACCATATGATAATCAAGTTAATCTAGCATTTACTCAAGTGCCAGACGAATTTACTTTTTTCAAGGAAGTAAAAAACGAAATCGGGTGCGCTTTTTATGATTTCTGAACATTGAGGAATCATCTCCCGAACTTTTTTTGTCGCAAAAAATCAAGTTTCTTTTTTCACAAGGGGACTCATGATATTCCAGTCGGATTATTCGGACCTTCCCAAGGTGTGTTGTGTGTACGAAAATGTTGTATAAATTATATGAGACAGAATTGTGCTAAATTCCTAAGTATGGGAGTTATTCCTGAATCTATTCCTGGGGAGGAGTTTCATTCAGAATAAATTTCTGTGTTGAAGTCACTCAAACCTACCGCATTTTTCGCGGCTCATTTGTGTTCTTCTTTGCCTTGAATAATTAATTTTTAATCATTTCCTTTTTCTTGGAATGCAGAAATTTTTCCGCTGTAGAGCCAAAAGCAGTAAATTAGTCATTATGAACTTCTTTCGTTCATTGTGGTCCCAGGAGCGCTTGAAAGGATGACAATTTACGAAAGCCACACGAATTCTTTATTAGCTACGATTTTCAGCTAGTGTATTGCTTTGGCTGTCTTTGAGCAACACAGTCATCCGTTTCCAAGGCGAACTATAGACTTCCGGCCCGGGAAGACCCGCGTCCCCGGGATGAATCTGCGACGAACAATATGGCCGAAACCGCCATATTGTTTGAGTAACCTCAGCGGATTGAGAACCCGCTGAGAGAAGGTTTCCTCGAGGGCTGCGCAAGGCTCGGGTTAAGGAATCACGATTTCCGCTTCAGATTTGCTCGTGGATTCTAGCTCAGCTAATCGGATTAAAATCGGGCGTCGGGATTTCGTCATTCATCTGTATGCGGATTATGTTTTAACTATTTTCTTCTCACCCCGCCCGTAACTTCCTTTCACCTGTTGTCGATTCAATTAACTCCTACCGCACGATCACCAAATTCATCAAAAACGCAGTGCCAGGAATCACAAAATTGAAAATTATCTGCTGGGGTCGACTCTTTAAGAATATTTTGTAAGCAAGCATAATTTCTTCATAGACATCATTCTCGTTAAAACAAATGATCACGAAATTCTCAAGGATCTCATAAAATAATTCTCTGCTTTTTTATGTTTTCCGAGGGTATTTGTTGTGATTTAATTTACTTGCAGTAACTATTTAAACTTTTGGCTTTTCCTTTAATGTAACACAGTATACAGAACGGAATGTGTACATCATTTTTGAGGTGTTCAAGAAATTCCTGTGCAGTGAGCAGGATATAACGACATTAGCTTTCCATTTACGAAATTGCGTCAAGGAACTGTAAGTTATTTGCTCCGCATTTCCACATTTTCTTGCTCTCTGGGGAATATTCCCTGTGTTTGCAGCTGGAAAACTACAATATCATGCAACTTTTGTGGTTTTAGATGCCATCAGCATTTTTCATGGCGTTGCAACTTCTTGGACACTATTGTGAAACGCATTCGAAGTAATTTTCTAGATTCCGACTTGCCTGTCGTTTTCATGACACTCGCGCACTTGAATAATTGATTTGTCTTGATTATTTTAATCGCTGTGTGTAAGAATGACCCGAGGTCCATATAGAAACAACAGAAAAATGTACAGTATCATCGAAGCTAAGAAAGGCTGCGCAAGGCTCGGGTTAAGGAATCACGATTTCCGCTTCAGATTTGCTCGTGGATTCTAGCTCAGCTAATCGGATTAAAATCGGGCGTCGGGATTTCGTCATTCATCTGTATGCGGATTATGTTATAACTATTTTCTCGTCACCCCGCCCGTAACTTTCCTTCACCTGTTGTCGATTCAATTAACTCCTACCGCACGATCACCGAATTCATCAATAAGCGCAGTGCCAGGAATCCCGGAATTGAAAATTATCTGCTGGGGTCGACTCTTTAAAAATATTTTGTGAGCAAGCATAATTTCTTCATGGATATTATTCTCGTTAAAACAGATCATCTGAAAATTCTCAAGGGTCTCCTAAAATAATTATCTGCTTTTTTATGTTGTTCGAGGATATTTGTTGTGATTTAATTTACTTACCGTAACTATTTAAACTTTTGGCTTTTCCTTTAAAGTAACACAGTATACAGAATGGAATGTATGCAGCATTTTTGAGGTGTTCAAGAAATTCCTGTGCAGTGAGCAGGATATAACGACATTAGCTTTCCATTTACGAAATTGCGTCAAGGAACTGTAAGTTATTTTCTCCGCATTTCCACATTTTCTTGCTCTCTGGGGAATATTCCCTGTGTTTGCAGCTGGAAAACTACAATATTATGCAACTTTTGTGGCTTTAGATGCCATCAGCATTTTTCATGGCGTTTTTCATGCAACTTCTTAGACACTATTGTGAAACGCATTCAAAGTAATTTTCTAGATGCTGACTTGCCTGGCGTTTTCATGACACTCGCGCACTTGAATAATTGATTTGTCTTGATTATTTTAATCGCTGTGTGTAAGAATGACCCGAGGTCCATATAGAAACAACAGAAAAATGTACAGTATCATCGAAGCTAAGAATGCCCGGGCTGGAAAGTGGCTTATTTGAATAATTCCTGATGTCGGTGATGGTCTTGTTGGTTTGCAGCGTCATGAGCATCCAGGCTGAGGAGGAGGACATCATCAACGTGCTCAAGGAGGCCATTCCCGCACTGGACGAGGTGAGTGACGACTGATAGAGTTGATGAGGACTCGAGTTCCCAGACTTACTCCAGGACGTCCGCAGATCGTTAGTCGGATGAAAAGCTCCAATGCGAGAGGAACGGAAGTGCGGATGTTGATCCATCACTTGCAGGCCGGAGCCATCATCGGGAAGGGCGGGGCGCAGATCAAAGAGCTCCGAGAGGTGAGCAGCAGCCATTCTGAAACAGAGTTTACAAAGAGCCTGATGCCAATTGCTTGTTAACTTTGTCTGAATTGCTGGGGTAATTGGAAGTCCTGCGATGTTTCATCATGCAATTCATGATGCATTATTAACCCTCAGGCGGCAAAGTTGGACTATTTTTGCAAAGTTTTGTTGCACCTCAGAGAGGCAAACAAAAAAATGTCAACAGGGGGTTAAGGGCAAAGTTGGGAAAAATCCCAATGTTTTTTCCGTGGGCACAGATAATTTTTGCGGGAAAATTGAAAAAAAAAATACTCAGTGAGGCTACTGGCTTTTTTGGGATTCATCTGGACTTTGCCTCAGCCCACCTGGAAGGGTTTTCCTGACCTTTGAAATTATGAAAATGTGGGAGGATACAAAAATAATCTGACTTCGTCCCGCTATGGGAAAGAACCCTCTGCAGTCCAAGGGTTAATGCCCTCTAGACGTTTTCTGGGATAAAACCTTGAGAAATTGCAAATACATAAATGACTGGCCTTGCTGGAATGAAAAGCAAGTTTTTTTTTCTCTGCTGGAAGTTCTTCAAATCAAACTTTTGGGGGCTTCAGAAAAAGTATTATTCACTGAATAATTTTTAATACTGAGATTTTTAAAATGAGTAACTGTAAAAATGTTCACATCAGACCTGCCCAATTTCAATTAGATCATGTTTATCTGGCATTCTCAGATTTTTTAGTATTCTTTAAATAACTGAGTGATCTGAAAAATTACTGACCTCTTCATTCTGGGAGGAATGGGTGTAAAATATCTTGGATTTACTCTAGATTTGTCTTGGTTATCTTGGATTACAGCTTCAATCCATGCTGTAAAAACCAGTCAATCACATTTGTGATCAGAAATTTCAGATAATGCCTGCATTAGTCAGAAAATTTCCATGCAGATAATCTAAATTAAACATTCCTAAAAAATTGTTATACTGGAATTGGGAAGTTTGTTATAATGAATGAATGAATGAACAGAAAACTTTATTTGCTGCTTTTCAGCATTCACAAGGTTCACTCAAGATTTCCTCAACCAAACCCCCTTCCCACCCAACCCAAATCCACTCAATGACATTTTAATCACTTCAGAGCAGGAAAGCACAAATTGATAACAAAAATGAAAGAAAATACAATACAACATGAAATACAGCTGGACATCTGACATATATGCATACACCCATTCATGCATTCCCTGACATTGGTAAGAAAATATATGTAAAAATTAATTTGAAGCACAAGATCTTTAGCTTGTTTCTGTATGAGGTTTAGTTGAATGAACAAATTCCAGAGAATCTTTGATGAGTAATCATATAAAGCCAGCAGTTTATCTCAATCCTTTAAGATTTCAGAAAGGGTCTTGTTATAAGGAATTTGTTGTAATGAAATTGTTTTAACTTGTACTCAATGGGCTTTCTGTTGGGGCTTGAGAAAAATTCCGCTATGCCCGAAAAATGTTGTTGTACGGTTATTTTTTGTGATGAGATTTCACTATAAATCTGAGCTCTATTTTTATCGATATTACATGAATTGATTCAATTTCTAAAATTGGATCCAGCGTTGTAGTAAAATACCTGTGCTGTTCTGTGGATGAAAGAGGAAATTTCGCTCTTTCTTGCAGGAAACTGGGGCCAACATGAAGATTTACGGGGAAAACTGCCCGCATTCGACAGACCGTGTGCTGCAGATTGCTGGTGACCCGGACACAATCGTCCGCTGTGTGCAGAAATGCCTGGGGCTCCTGAAAGGCGTAAGTCGCCAAATTAAATCCCGGCTGACGCAAAACGCCTTTTCCTTTCGGATTTAATTTGCCGCAGTGAACTGAAAAGCACCTTCTCTGTCCGCACAGTCGTTAAGCTGAGTTTATTCCTACTTCTCTGCGTTTGCAGTGCACTTTAATTTGCAATTCCTGCTGCAACACGCCACCTGATATCGCCATGTGTCGCGTGTCCACTCGCGTTGCCATAGTGATTGCATGCACGCGTGCAAAAGCCTGCTGTCTGCTACTTGATGTGAACCCCTCCGAATTCGTGACACCCCTCTGGTTCCCGCTGCTGTGGCTACGGAAAGTTGACGGGGTTCTCTTCCTGCTTCTGGGTCTCGTTGGTGCACACTTAGTGCGGGCTTTGCCCCGCACGGGTCCGCGTGACAACCCGCCACTACTGTACCTATAGTAGTTCATTAAATCTCACCGGTTTCAAATCCCCCATGCATTTGTATCCAGTGCGACAATCGAAAACATCATCAGTGAACTTTTTTTTAGTTTTGAACAAATTTTATGGAATGGAAGAATGACTGGTTGACCCTTTTCATCTCGAAACAGAATCAGGGCATTTGACGCTTGGCATTTTCACTAATTCCGCTTGACCCCTTAGAGACAGATACTTAGGGTTTGTTACGCACGAGGTGATCAGCAAGAAAGGATATATAAGAGCATTTATGTTTCGGGTTAGGTATTTTACTCGTTGAAGAAGGAACAATTTTTTGGTGTTGAATTATTCCCTTACATACACATTTCATTGGGTTACGTTCGTTTGGTATGAGGCAAGTGATTCAAGTTAATTCAAGTGTTTGGTTTGGCTAGGTCAGTTGTGTCTTGTGTGTTAGGCTAAAATGAGTTCAATTCAAATACGAAGTGGAAAAAAGGGTCTCAACTAACAGGTGAGAGAGGGCTTCTCTTTGTTGTGAAGTTGGATTTATTATGTCGGTCTCCCGTTTTGTTTGCTTATTCTTTTCTTGCCTATCGCAAATAACTTCAATTATCAATAACAATAATTCTTTAAACGCCGTTGGGCTCATGTTGGTCGAGTGGAAATCGATTTTTTTTCAAGTGCAGCGGCTTTTTTTGTGACGATACCCAATCTGGTGTTCCCAATAATACAGTACAAGCCTCATGCGCAATTTTGGTCATCGGATCCTGAATTATTCGCGAAACGAACTTTGCACTCGTGTGTTCTTCATCGAAGCCTGTTGTATGTAGACTTCCTCTTATAAAGAGGAAATTCATAATTGATCCCTGCTTCCCTTCGTATCGAGTTGTGCCAATATTTCTTCCGCCATACATCCCCCCCCCCCTTCTTCGGAGCGAGGGAACATGTGTATTAATTTTAATATGTTCCTCCCTTGTTACAGCTGCCCTCCCAGGGGGTTTCTTGATAACAGCACTTCGTAAATCCTCATGTTTTGCGAATATATTCGATTGTAAAAATTTTATCGTAAGAGTTAAGACTGCTATAGGGCTAAGTTTTTTCGAGTGCTGAACTAGATTATTCAGGTGGTGAAGGGCTGAGTGCTGGTACAGCGATGAAAGACATTTGATGTCAAAGTAATGAGGGAGAAATAATGAAAGAATATTTTTGGGACAGATGAATTCTGTATATATAGTAAGCTTGGGTTACGTCTACTCTGCTCTGGAAAATAAACGGAGGGGACACGTATACCTCCCTAAACCGAACTTAATTTGCTCTAGAATTTTTCGCCGTACTAATTTGTAATTATTTTTTGCGGGGCCCCGGCGGCCGAGTTGGTGGATTACCCCGACCGGGTCGGCGGAATATTCCGACTCGGGTTCGCACTGCTCCCCAGGGGTCTCGGCGCGGGAATAATAGAACAGGGCGCTAATGCAACGGAGGGAAATCAGTGCTGCTGGCCGGGATCCCAGCCGCATCAGCTGTCGGGCCGGGTGCACGCTAGGGCTGCCGCTGGGTATCCTTCGGGTTTCGGGACGCCGGATCAATAATACCCAGGACCCGCTGTCGGCGAACGCAGTTTATCCTCGGTCTTGGCGTCAGCGATTGTTTCGTGAGGGGCGAGTTATGTAACGTCCGCATTGAGCTGACAAAAAAAATCCTCGAGCTCACATTCTCATAGAAAAAAAAAAAAAACCCTATGCAGAGAATACGGAATAACGTCCTTTAAAAATGAAAATTTCACGCTTCATCCGAATTAAACTTATTTATGCTTTTGTTGAAACGCCTTACATCTTACATTCGTAAAGTTTTCAGGAGGATTTTCAAGTGCTTTATATTCAAAGTAATGTCTCGTTTTTTGGGGACGAACAAACAAAATTGTGCGGTATCCATGACGCTTGAATTCCGAGCAGTGTTCAAGTAATTTACTAATTGTGTAAATAAATTTGGATGAAAAATTACACTGTATTTTTTGAATGCCACTCGCGTATTTATTTCAATTTCTCAAAGAAAGAGACGGGTAACACAAAATGTACGATGCAGTATGAAGAAAATTCTTCTACAATTTTCTTCGATAACATTTTACTTATTGTGCATTATGGAATTACTGTATTGTTGTAACGCGTGTTCTTCTTTTTAAAATTATCATTAAAATTGTGCAATCGAGTGAAGATTGTTTTTGGGACTTATCAACATTTTTTCGGCTGGTACAACTTTCACAAATTTGCGCATCAAATTTTGGACCCTAATTGTTTCTTATACACGCTTAAATTGTCAGGGAAGGCTTTTTGTTTTTCATACAAAGAATACTCAAATTTCGCGATTTTTAGCAACGTAAATTCAATGCCGTAATTCTTTGCCGTCTTTTGTTCATGCTAATCTAGCCATTCTTCTGTCCGATTCCGAACAATATTTCAATTCGTGTACCCCCACTGCTCATTAAAAACCCCGGGTTTTCCTAGCAGTATTTGGGAAGCCCTTCTCTCGGTGGGTCATGGCGAAGTGCGTTCCAGTCCAATTCTGTTTTGCGTAATTCATTAGGAAGCGGACGCAGCAGCAGCGAACCCGGGTTGTCCGGAAAACGAGGAATACCCGAAAAAGGGGGGTAAGGGGGGGTATACGAGCAGAAAAAAAGGGGGGGGGGGAGGATGTTCTGCGTTCATCACCGGTGATCCAGCCGGCGGCGCGTCGACACGACGCAGGGGTCCGTGCTGGGGCCCGGGGTCACCGGGGAGGGACGGAGAGGGGGAGCAGGGGAAAAATCGATGCAGCCGGGACCTGTGAAACAGCGAGGAGGCCCGGGTCCGCGGCCCAGGGTGCGCCGCAAGGGGGTGGGTTTATTCCGATCACTTCCTGCTCGATCGTCGTCGTCGCACACACAACTTGCGGGGTTTCCTCTTTTTTTGACACAGCCCGGGTCTCCATCAGAGTCGGGTCGGCCGCCCTGTGGACGGACTTGTTGAGCGGCCGCGCGCGCTGCTGCTGGTGTTGCCTGCTCTCTATCCTGGTGCCCACTCACATTCACTCACTCAATCTTACCTTCCGGGGGGGGACCTTTCCTGCCTGCCTGCCTGCAAGTCTACCTATACCCACACCTACCTACCTGCCTGCTTGCCGGTCGCCATGACGACGGGTCGACGTCCCTTGCCTTCAGAATTTCCCGACTTATTGTGTGTGCTCGTGTCCTGTGCGGAATTCCGTTTCGGGGCGACGGCGTCCTTCCGCCGCGAGTTTACGGAAATTTCCCCGAATTTCGGCGAGCGGAGCACAAGGGGCTTCGCGTAAGTACCAGCTCTCTCTCTCTCTCTCTCCCTCTGTGTGTGTGCGTGTGTGTGTGTGATCGTCATCGAGGGGCGAGCTGTGTTTCCGGCAACCGTGTTCTTATCGACGTTTTATATCCGCGAAAAGCTGATTTCATTAAAACCAGTGGATAATTTTCCTGGGCTTCTCGGCGTACCGTATTTGCCTGCGTATGTGTGTGTGTGTGTGTGTGCGTGAGAGAGAGAGAGAGAGAGAGGTTGTCATGGTTACTGCGAGGAATTCAAGGGGAAATAGCGTAGTTTAGAATCTATAAATAATCACACGAATCGATGCGCGCGTTCGAGCGTACAGTATTTGGACCATTTGTTTTTTTCGAAAAGAGGGAAACCTAAAAAGGGAAGTTCATTTTCTTTATCTGCTGCATTCATGAGGAGTTGCTCTGAAAGATTGCATTTAAAAGCATATATTTTGCAAATTCTGGGAGCTATACTCAGTCCATAAAAATTGGGGGAAAACGTTAAGTTTTGAAAGAATAGTCTCGAACACATTTTCTTCATCTTCTGCATCCACGATTTGCTTTCAAGAGATAAATTTACAATTCTATTTTTAAGCATATCATACTGACTATCTAAAAAAGCACCCAGAATTTCCCTGAAAATGCCCCGCGCTTAAGAGAAACATGATTAAATAGTTGTATAAACTTTAAAAATTTCGATGATATTTTCACGTGACCATGCGGAAACCAGAAACCCGTCGATTTTTCGACGCCTCTTGATTATTCAAAGAAAATACGAATGAAGTCTCGTGCCCAAGTTGGCTCTGGCTTTCTTCAAATGTGGGTTTTATCATCGGGGATGCGAATGAAATTCGTTTCTGCAAAGGTTGCTTGATAGGGATGACATATTGCGGAAACATAGAACGATTTGCGTGGAATATCCAC